AGATTAAAATCACTTCATATCTTTCTTTCTACTAATTAAATCTTTCTTCATGTACTATATCCATGTACTCAGTCTTTCTTTTATATATTTCCACCAGTGAATTAAGTACTCCTATGAATTCGGTGTTCATCTTGCTGTGCTAATGCGGTATGGCAACTTGAACCGATGCATATATGTGCCTGATCCTACGTTGTATCTGACTGACTGACTGACTGATATTTTCTTTCTAAACTCTACGATTTTATCATCATGACAACTGATTATCTATCAAATACTAAAATGAATATTAGCCTATATAAATACATATAGAAAATTATGGTTACACATTCGATTGAGAAATTGTTGAGATTATGGGAAGATGACATACATAGAAGACCAGGAAAATTTTGAAGGTTGGAACTTAGTTCAATTAACTATTCATCAAAAAAAAATATCGAAATTGATCCAAATTAAAGAGATCGACAAATATTAAATCATTAATCAGGTCAAAGAGGAATACCATGGAAATGGATGTTCAGACACTAACATGACAAGTGTTAGCGACAACCAGTTATATTCAAGGTTGATAAAATGATTAATTAATCATATGTTGAGAAATTCGAATAGTTCACTTCCAACTAAAGTTTTGTGTTAATCTTTTATAGAAGTGCAATAGAAACTTTATGATTAATCCATCTACCTCACAGTACGTAACTCTATTGTAACCAGGTAAAGCTGAAGAGAATATATATATTGTCTATAGGTTATACTATTAGAGGAATCTAGACATTTGTTGTCTGATATACACGGAACAATAACACTTCTAATGAAACTAATTACAAATCCATTCTTTATTCTCTGTTCAAAGTCAAATTAGTATTGTAAAGTATTATAGACTGACACGACTATCGTACTATCAGAAGGTAAATAATGAACTATAGCTATCTTGTAAAATGGGTCACATACTTCCGGTTTTTTTTTTCAATATTACGTTTATCTTAGTAGGTTAGGGAAAATGATTTGGGGTTTAAAGTAACAGGTACTTGGTTTGAGTTTCATGGTTAACATCTGTCTAACAAATAGGATGTAAAACAAAGCTTTAATCTTGTATTTCACTCGTACTTCCAACTGAAAGTTAAGAACTTACGTAAAATATTATATATTAACGTCTGCATATAATCTTTAAAAGAAATCTAAATGACTGAATTAATAGAACTATGCATATACTTGTTAAGTAATAATAAATCTCACACTAAGTATAGAATTAGATCTGATTAATCGCCGTTGATTCTATCTTAGGCCATAAATATTGTACTAATCTCCGGCAAATCGTATCCAATCCAGGAACTTCATTTTATATAGTAGGGTGGGTGTAGGTAGGTAGGTAGGATTTCGTGCTGGTTGGAAAAAATCAAACGCCTAGTTACACTCTTAGGAGAACTGATGCTCATTGGGGGATTCAAAATTGGATCATCTAATTTCATGTTTTGACACTAATCTCAATCTTTCTATTTAAGCTACACTCCTTTAGGAAAAAAAAGAAACGAAGAATCCGACCGAACAACAAAATCGTCATGTCAATTATCTAGATCAACCTTACACGACGATTACAGACTATTACATTTATAAACAATCGTCCACTTATATTTGTATACTGATTCTTTTTTATAAGTATGAATTATTTAATGTTAAATGTACCCGAGCTCCCGATTTTGGGGAAACCGCTATAGTAAACTTTAGGGAAATGGCACTAAAACCTCGAAATTTCCACAGACCTGGGGAATAATAAAATGTCAACTACACTGGAAATAGGGGTAAGAGGAGACAAGGATAATAATAATAGTAATAATAATAATGTGGAAACAATTTGAAACCTAATCACTGTGGATGATAAGTCTACATCAGAAGGGGTTTTGTGGAGATTGTAATGATTTCAATGGTTAAGATCATGGGTCAGTTGAAGCAAGACCACCATGGAAAACCTGGAAGCACTGGATGACTGTTTCGTCCTATTATGGGACTCTTCAGCAGTGCGCATCCGCGACCTCGCCCCCTGCGTGATCCGAACCCAGGACCTACTAGTTTCGCGCGCGAGCACTTAACCACTGAGCCGGCATCCAACGGTGTTCACGTTCAACTTCAATTAATCCACGAAATTGAGCGACACATCCACCATTGTCTTCAGTGAGTTACTATCTCACAACACAACAGGTGGGACTCCATTGGTCACTACTTCTCACAAGAACTTCTGATAAAGTCTACATAACCTTACCATTCAGAGGTGATTCAGATAGCCTTTTATCGAAACAAAGACTTAAATCAGTCATCAATAAAACATATTGCGCAGCATAGGTCATTTTCAAGGAAAGAATAAGGTGCATGTTTCATCCAAAACCTAAAAGAAATGAAAACAATTGTGTCCCATCCCACTGTTTTTACCAATTTAAATGTGCGTGTGCGTGTGGTCACACATATATATAGGGATGAGCGATCATGATCTTAACATTAGGGTGAGTGAACACGTACCAAAATGGTCCCAGAAACAAATACAATCAAGTGATCTAATAAGAGCAGAGGATAAACATCCATCATCCCCTATTGCTAAACATATAATTGAAACAGGCCATAAGATTGATCTAAACTCGGCTTTTGTGGTATTACTAGAATGGGTTTTGTGGAGAATTGGTAATTTCAATAGTTGAAATCATGAATCCATTGAAGCTAGACCACCATGGAAAACCTGGAAGCACTGGACGGCCGTTTCGTCCTGGTATGGGACTCCTCAGCAGTGAGCATCCACGATTCCGCGTATACTAAGGTTTATTGAAGCCTTAACCATACGATAAATCTTAAATTAAACATCAGATTTAAACTCTTACAGTCAATTGATTTCATTTCAATACAGATCAAATAATGTAACATGGAAAAATTGATGAATCTATAGTCAAAATGTAGGGGGAGGGTTTGTGTAGATTATAATAATTTTAATAGTTGAATTCATCAGTCGATTTTTAAGCACTAGACGCTCGTTTCGTCCTAGTATTGAACTCTTCAGTAGTGCATATGCATTACCCCGACCATGAGATTTGAACCCAGGACCTTCAGTCTCTCACGCGAATCCTTAACCTTGAAATCACAGAGCCGACATCCATTGGTGTTATTGTCTAACTTCAATCGATCTATGATCTTGTGAAACTCTTCATTCATTGTCTGAAATGGATACCTATCTCTATCCAACATGGATTAGACTCCACTGGTAATGGCTTCTCACTATAGAACTCCAGGAAATCATCTTAAATCCAATCCCTAGTGAGCACATGATGATTACGATCAGAATGGGGGGGGGTTGTGGAGATTGTAGTAATTTTCAATTATTGGATTTATTTTTAACTGAATACAGTGCTTCTCAGGTGATCAAGTATAATGTATATGAAGAGAGAACCTTTCAACTAAACCATATAGTATAGATAATATGAAATCTATCAGAATTACCTTTCATAAACTATAAACTTACATTTGATTCTTTTAAAGAAAACGTTACAATGTTTAATAAGTAGACAATGATTTGTATCTACTGTTAACATTTAATCAAAATATTAAATCGTTCACTCAAGTAACTCAAATGATATCAGAGACTAGTCAAATACATCTCTATCTATTAAGCTTTTCTAAGTAATAATATTCATAACATCATGGCATTTGTAATGTTAGATACTAGATCCAAGTCTCTATGAAAACATTAACACTAAAATGTAAACACATCCAGTTAACCTTAGTCCTAGATTCAATTTATATCCATTGTCGAATGTTGTATAACCAGATATTTAATAAGTAGTATGTTATTTCATTTCACAAATGAAATTGGACAGTGGTGGGACGTACGGCTGCTGGGCGGATATTGGATGTAGATGACTCAGCAGGCCGCTGGAGTTCGGGTGTTAAACGTCCCATGTGCCAGGTGGATGTCGGATGTTGGTGTCCCGGCAGGTCGACCGAGCTATGGACGTCAGCGCGCCGCAAACCCGACATCTTGACGGAGGGTGTGGCATAAAATGCAGAATCGGAGAATATGGCACGGCGAGTATGAACCACATCAAGAACGACTACTTTAAAGGGGGGACGAGTATGGTGTGTGCTACTTATATCGACATAAGTAGCATATGACGTTAGTCAGGAACAGAATGTCTGGCAGCAGAGAAAGAAGAGGATCGAACAATAAAGAATGGAAACAGAATGCAATTTGTATGAAAATGCAAGAACAATGAAGTCTGAATAGTTTTGAGACAATTGATGAACATTTTGCAAATTGAGCATTTAATATACGGTTGTTAGATTTCATTAGACTCGCATTTAGGAATAAATAGGAGTCACAATCTTCAATACCAACGTCAAAATAGTTAGTTCTACTGTACAGAGCTATTCACGCGAGACACTCAACATCCATTGTAAGGATACCATCAGCAAAAATAGCCTTTTGCGAGAGAGAACAAACCAGCTTCCAGCTGAAGATGGGAATCGGTAGAACATACATTAAGCAAATCATTAAACTGTATCACCAGGCAAGCCCTAAGTTGAAATCGTGAAGGGAAGTGGAGAAGAGGAAGGCCAAAGAACACATTACGTCGGTAAATAGAATCAGATATGAAAAGATTGAATAACAACTGGAAAGAGATGGAAAGGATTGTCTAGGACAGGGTTGGATGGAGAATGCTTGTGAGCGGCCTATACTTGTTCACAAGGAGTAACAGGCGTAAGTAAGTATGTAAGTGTTCAATTTTATTAACAAATCCTTTAAGTTTGTGTCGAATACATCCAATTGTTCCTCACTGATGTTCTATTCACTATACTAGATCCAAATCTCTATGTAAGACATTAACACTAGAATGTAAACACATTCAGTTAATCTTAGTCCTAGATTCAACTTATATCCATTATCAAATGTTGTATAATCAAATATTTAATAAGTAGTATGTTATCTCCATGTTCTTGTTTGTTTTTCTTCTTCTTTCATTTATTTCAAGGCATATCGTTTAGAACCATTATTATTGAAACATTATGCTAATATTAGTCCTGTTGTTATACCAAAAGCATCAATTAATCAATTAGAAAAATGTTTATCGATTAAAGATATTTCACTTATCAATAATAATAATACTACTACTACTAACACTACTAATAAATCAAATCAATCCGATAGTCAAACACCAACTTTAAAAGGTTCTAATTCATCATTAATAGCAATTGATGATATTGAATCAACACATTCAATGCATACATTAGATTTATCTGATTCAGATAGTGATTCATCTGATCTATCCTTAAATGGTACTAATAGTAACAATGGTTCTGATCATAAAGAACAAAAAAGAAAAGTATGTACATATTATGATTGTAAATGAAGATGAAAACTGTTTTGTTCTTTTTTTTGTTGTTGTTTTTTTTTATATTTCATGTTCATGGTTAAATAGGTTTTGTGGTTGTTTATCTATATAGATAGATAGATATAGTCTGATTGATGAATACAGGAGCTGGCATTATGAAGACTTCATTTTTACCAAGTTTTAGATATGTAGACTATATTCTTTCCAAAGTACTTCTTATGTATAGCAGTACATGTGTTCTATCACGTCTCGTTGTTCAAGATATCCTTTAAGGTGTTTATAAGTCAAGCTATTTAGCTACCTTACCGTTTTACATCGTGTTTTCTCTCGTTGATTAATTGATATCTAGTAAACGGAAAGAAATACTACAAGGAGTTCTCTCATAAGTAACGAGAGTAGTTCATTGTGACATACAATTTGCTTATATAGAGGTTACAGTTTTCATCTGTTGGCATTAATAAGATTTAATAAATTCAGGATTCTTTCAATACCAGGAAAAGTCTTCAACAGGGTATTGTTAAACAGGATGAAGGACTTCGTAGGCGCCAAACTTTGAGGATCGATCGTGTACCGAACAAATCGCAACACGACGGATCATTGTAGAACAATCAATTGAATGGAATTCATCACTTTATCTCAACTTCATTGATTACGGGAAAGCAATTGATAACGTGGGTAGGACAACACTATGGAAGCTTCTTCGACACTATGGTGTGCCTGAGAAGATTGTCAATATCATACAGAATTCCTGTGATGGATTAAACTGCAAAATCGTGCATGGAGGACAATTGACAAAATCGTTCGAAGTAAAGACCGGTGTCAGGCAAGGTTGTATACTCTCACCCCTTCTCTTTCTCCTGGTGATCGACTGGATCATGAAGACGTCAACATCTGAGGGGAAGCACGGGATACAGTGGACACCTAGGATGCAGTTGGACGACCTAGAATTCGTAGATCACCTGGTTCTTCTATCGCACACGCAACAACAAATGCAGGAGAAGAAGACCAGTGTAGCAGAAGCCTCAGCATCAGGAGGTCTCAACATACACAAAGGGAAAAGCAAGATTCTCCGATACAACACAGCATACAACGATCGAATCACACTTTAGAATCCTGGAGCCCATGTGCACCATTGGTTTGGAATGAAGGTTTTCCAACTCCCCTAGATGAACTCTCCGTGTCCACCAACCCGGCCTCTCAACTCCGTAGACAACACCTCCGCCACGAGAAGGCAGTGAGTAGAACTTCCCTAGCAGAGGCTATATACGCGTGGCCATGTGAGAGCATTTCGAGAGGGAGAGCATGCTCTCTGTACTCTCGGCCGTGCCAGAGCATTCGGGGGCACGACTTAAATTGCGTTAGTCAATAATGAAATTAAATATGTCAAATACGAGAATGAATTTCGAATACGTATATTTCATACAATCTTTGATCCGGACAAAATATCGGAGAAGTGAAGAGAAACGACATTCAGTGCTGAAGGCATCTAAGCCAACTCCATTTAGTCAAGCGTTAATCAATATTCATAGTCACACAAAAATAAGCTACAGACATGTGATAAATGGGATAAGAACTTACTTACTTACTTACTTACTTACGCCTGTTACTCCTCATGGAGGAGCACAGGCCGCCTATATCGGCGTTTTTTTGAATAATTTTTTCTGGTTAACGTTTTTCTAGTGGGTTAGTTTTCTACGGGATGGGTTCGCTAAACTCATGCCCAACCCTCCTCCTTTATCCGATCTTGGGACCGGTAGTAGCCCCCGGAGGGGACTCCAGGTGAAGCTAGGCAGCCTAGATGCACTCATATAAAAACAGTTAAGATTGACAAGTGAATAATGAACAAGGTCATAATATGACTCAAGTAGAATGAATAGATTGACCTAGAATAAAGGTATATATGTGTTTAACTAGAATAACTGACACTATAATTATTTAATCATATTCCCGTATTTTATCTTTCATTTAATGCCTAAATGTATGTTCTATTTGATCTATAATATAACTGTTCTCTGTATTTATTTTGTTTTATTCTATTCATCTTAAGATTTTCAAACGTTTAAGTGTTGTGGATGAAAATTCTGTTTATAAACAACATCAATCTTTAGCAAGTAAGAAATATGTTCAATAATTAAGTTGTTATTCTGTTTTATCTATATATGGTTAATAGGATAGTTTTTTGTTTCAAATTCAGAAACTACTAGAAAATTGTAAGTAATGATGGATAATAGCTAGCAATGGAATCCAGTTTGACCCGCGTTTCGTCCTATTTGGGACTTATCATCAGCTGGATGAACCTGCATCACAGACTTGTTGATGTTCACTCTGGGATTCGAACCCAGTACCATTGGCTTTAAACGCCATTACGTTATCCACTCAGCTACTGAGTCCTGATAAGCACTTGATTGTGCAATGATGCAATGGATTCCACTGCTAGCCACTATCCATCATTGCTTACAAAAAGTTTGTAAATTAAGGCAATATCTAGGCATGCACACAGTATGCACATATGCCAATAACAGACTGATCAATCGCAGTCTTAAACCTCAATGGGAAGATACAAGCCAAACAATGCTAAATGAATCTACTAGATAATTGTCTTAATTTATTATGAAGATCTTTAGTTAAAAGCATCCAGGGAGTTAACGTCGTACGTTCAGGTCTCGTAAAGATTCATTTTTCACTTGAATTCATTCTTAAAATGGTTCGACATTAATTCACTCCAGGTGTAGCTAAACTATATTAGTCACGGCTTGAAAGAACAAAAATGAAGTATTCATTTCAAAAATTGCAGGTCTTAGACCCGATTCCTGGTGTGATCATTTATACTTATTTCTAATTAGTCCCTTATTATCTATGACAAACATCACTTACAAACCAATAAAGTAATCTTCACTGGATTGTTCTAATAGTTGAGATGGGTTATGACTGTTTTATAAGGTTCACAGATAATTCTCTTTACAAACGATTGTCAAATGAACAAGCAATTAAAAAAAGAATAACCCTTTTAGTTAAAGTTTATTAATCATCTTCAACAACCCAGGAATTTCAGACATTCATGTCTCTGGATGATAGTTTCATAAAGAATTCCTATAACTGAAATTTTGATTGACTTTTGTTCTTTGAGCTGGATGGTTTGGTCGTGGAGCTTTTATCGTTCTTCTGAACGACATCATTCATAGCACAAACTTCAGATAGAAGTAAAGTGTTCAAATTTCTCTATATGCGTTTCACAGCTTGTTCTGTACACCTCGATGTTAATCGGTTCTTATTGACCTTAAATTTGTCATTGTTTACTTCTTTGTTTTGATTGTGTGTCCTATTGGTTTGATTCTTGTTCCTATATTTGTGCATAATTTTTCTGATTGGTTGATAAATTGGATCGATTTCAATGTATTTGTTGATTACTGATTGACCTGAGTACCAGGCTTCTAAAAATTCTCTAGTCTGTTTGGAATTCCCCCTGTCCAAGATTTCCAAATTTTTCTAATCGAATGAGTGTCCGCAGTTGAGAATTCCATCAAAGTCAACCACCTGATCCACAAATCTTCTCCACTATAACTGAAATACAAATTTCATCATCAACTTAATCATTATTCTTTGAAGATGGTTTGTCAGAATTAAGATAATCATTGTTGAACTATGACATTTGTAATGTAACAATTAAGGAGGTTATGTATCAATGACAGTTGATGATTATCTCATTGGATTACACACTGATTAACATTCTTTTATATACATTGATCAATTAGAACTTAATCAGTTAAATGTATTCTTTATAGTAGTTAAATTCATAAGTCGATTGAAGCTAGATCAACATAGAAAACCTGGAAACACTGGACGGTCGTTTCGTATTGGTTTGGAACTCCTCAGCAGTGCACACCCACTATCCTGCCTTGCAAGATTCGAACTCAGGACCTATCAGTCTCTTTTTACTGTTCAATCTTAAAATTCTAGCTTTCATTACATATTGAATTGTATAGTTGTTTACTCACTTACTTACGCCTGTCACTTCTCGTGAACGAGCATAGACCGCTCACCAGCATTCTCCATCCAACCCTGTTCTGGGCAATCCTTTCCATCTCTTTCCACCTGTTATTCATAATTTTCATATCTGATTCTATTTCCTGACGTAATGTGTTCTTTGGCCTTCCTCTTTTCCCCTTCCCTTCAGGATTCCAAGTTAGCACTTGCCTGGTGATGCAGTTTGATGATTTCCTCAATGTATGTCTTACCCATTTCCATCGTCTTTTCCTAATTTCCTCTTCATCTGGAAGATGGTTTGTTCTCTCCCACAGTAGGCTGTTGCTGATGGTATCCGACCAATGGATGTTGAGTATCTTGCGTAGACAGCTATTGATAAATACTTGTACCTTCTTGATGGTGGTTGTTGTAGTTCTCCACGTTTCAGCTCCGTACAGTAGAACTAACTGTGTTGACGTTCGTATTGAAGATTGTGACTTTGATATTGGTTGACAGACAGTTGTTTTGAGTTCCATATGTTCTTCAATTGAAGGAATGCTGTCCTTGCTTTTCCAATCCTCGCCTTGACGTCTGCATCTAAACCTTCTTGTTCATCGATGATGTTTACTCAAGAACAGAATAATTGTCTATTGTTTTCTATTCCTCTATTCATCAATTTCTAGTTGTTATCTACTTATGCGGGAGGGGGGGGCATTATTCGTAAATCAATTAATTGATTATAATAATAATCATAATTATCGATATAAAAGAGATTTGTAGTTGTTTATAGACAATAAAAACAACAACAACAACACAACTATTTTAGTTGTCATGTGTTCTAATGATCACATCATCAATCAATATATTAACAAATGAAACTAGTTGGAAACTATAGTACTTTTACTTTATAAAAGTTTATAAATACTTTAATTTTTATTAAATTATAAATAAGATTAAGTTAGTAGTAGATTAATTGAAGTTAGTCATTAACACAGTTGGATGCCGCCCAACTCAGTGGTTTACTGATACAAGATTGATAGGTTTTGGGTTTGAATTTCACGAGGTGGAATAGTGGATACGCACTGTTGAATAATCTCATACTAGGACGAAATGGTCGTCCAATGTTTTTAGGTTTCCTATCGTGGTCTAGCTTCAATTGATTCATGAATTCATCTATTAAGTTAGTAGTATTGATAATAAATTTTTAATATTGAATAGGATAGAGATTGTTTTTCTGAAATTAAATAGTCAACCAAAAAAATACTATGGATCATTTTTAAAAAGTTTAGAATCTTAGAAATTTAGGATACATATTTCATTCCATTTGGAACTCATCAACTAGATGTATATACATCTAGGATTTGAATCCAGTACCGTTTGTTTTAAATGCCATCATATTATCCACTTAACTACTGAATTCTGATAGCCATCTACTTGTGCAATAGGATGAATTAGCTATTTGGATCATATGATGGTTTTTCAAAACAATACCGATACCTGGGTTTGAACCCCGTAGTAAACATAAACTCTAAGATACAGATACATCCAATTGATGAGTTCCAAGAATAGGATGAAACGCGCCTAATCATTATTCATGTTATATTCTACCATATTGTTTTTTGTTTTTTTTCTCTTTTTATTTCTTTTTTAGTGAAAATATTTAGTAATTATATAACAAGACGATCATCTAATGTAACTAATTTAAATCCAATATTATGTGAAATGCGTTCAATGCCAACATCAAATGAAAAACATTTAAGACGTCGGGTAGATTATGAATGGCAAAAATCATTTTCACCACTTGCTATATTAGGTGCACATAATAGTTATTGGAGTAGTCATGAATTAGCATTTTTTATGCTTTATCAAATATTTGGACCACCGCATAATTTACGTTAAACCATAAAAAGATAGATAAATCTATATCTAGACAATATGGTTACAGTTATGGATACAGAGATCAAGGATTTCCTAGTTTCTATCTCTTATGTCATGCATTTGTATTTGTTGCTTAGTTACTTGGAAACATTCCATTCCGTTCTATCCCATATTTCTTTTCCATTTTTTTGTAATGTGGTGAATGATTTCTCTTTTTTTTCATCTGTGAAATAATTAAAACAACAGCAACAACAACAAAAAAAAGAAAAGAAAAGAAAAAAACATTCCCACAGATTATTGAATCGACCTTTTATTTTCGGAATTTTTCTCTATTTTTTTTTGTATTTTATCTTAATCATTGTAAATTATATTGATAGATATTAATCTAAGTTAGTTGAATTGAATCATACACATCGTAACGATTTTTCTTCTTTTTTTTAATAAAAAGAAAAAACAAACAAAAAAAAAGAAATAAAAGATAAAAGAAAACTTCATTGTTCCTAATCAATATTCTTTTTATTTTATAATTGATCGATTAATTAATTAATTGATTGATTTATTGATTTATTTTTGGTAATTTATATATTTACTACTTCATATTGAGCTGTTTTACATGTTCACTTACTTACTTACTTACTTACTTACTTACGCCTGTTATTGCTTGTGGTCCACCAGGGTGCTTGGTATCTGTGTGATGGCGTCACAGGATTGAGTTGTACTACGGTGTCTTGTTCTCTTGTGAAGCGGGATTGAGCTGTACTGCTCAGATTATAAAATTTAAGCCTGGGGTGGTGTCTGGCTTTTTTGTTAAATGGGATTGAGGTGTATGGTTTGGGTTGTCATGTGAAAGTTTGAATAGTGTCTAGTTCTCCTGTAAACCAATGTAAAATTACCTTGGCTCACAAGGGTATATTATATAATTATGTTTTATATTGTTCAGCTTTTATATATTACATAATAATGAAATCGATTGGATTGTACGTGTGTGTGTGTGTGTGGGTGAGTGTGTTTATGTGTTTTCAGCTTTCGTTTATTTTGTTTTTCTTTTGTCGAAAATAACAACAACAACAAAATAAGTGAAAATGTTCTGTTTTTGAATTGTTCTCTTTATATGTTTATCCATCTATTTTGAAGAATAATTAATGGGGATTTGTAAAGATTGTAGTAATTATCAATAGTTGAATTCATGAGTCAGTTTAAGTTAGACCAATATTCAACAACCAAGAAGCACTAGATGGACGTTTTGTTCTAGTATGGGACTCCTGAGCGGTGTACATTCACGATTCTGCATATGGGACTGGAACTCAAGACCTTTGGTCTCGTACGCGAACGCTCAACCTCTAGACCTTTGAGCCATCACCTAACGGTATAATGTGTAACTTCAATCAATCTATGATCTTGAGCAATTGTTCATCCATTGTCTGAGGTAGACACCTGTCTCTACCTGACACGAATTGGATACCATCGGTTATGGCTTCTCACTAGAATTCCAGGAAATTCATCTTGAATCCAGTCCCTAGTGAGCACATGATGATTATGATTAGAGTGAGGGTTTGTGGAGATTGTAATAATATTTGATTGACACGTAGTCTTTCATTGATTATCGACTGCACAACTCAGTTACCTTGAAATACTTTACTTTGGATAAACAAGATAATAAATATACCTAAATCATCAGTCGACTAAAACTGAATCATCTGTGAGATAACCAGCTTCCAGGTGATATTTGTTACATAACCTAATGGTTACGTAGTAGAAGTAATGATAAGCTACACATTTATTATACAGAAGAAGCTTCAACAATTGTTATTCTATTGTCCACCTTTTGTTTTTGTGGTAATATCTATTCATTGTACTCGCTTTGTTTCATGTCTATAATAATATGTTTCACTTCTATCCCCTTATTAGTCAGATTCGCCATCAAGCTTTGTCTTGACACTTAATCGTATGTCCCTATTCACCTCGAATAATAACTCACACTTTTACCCGTATATGTTGTGCTGTTAGCCACCTACGTTTATCCTAAAACCAATGGATTACACCTTGAGAATCAATCGCATATTTTAAAGTTATTCTTTATAAACTGGGTGTATGAAGAATATATGAGTGAAATATATTGAAAACGTGATCTTAATGTCACTAGACTCTGCTGAAGCTAATCCTTCATTCATTTATTCAATCAGTCAGTCGGCTGCAACGTAGGACCAGGCATATATATGCATCAGTACAAGTTGCTATACCGTATCAGCAGAGCAAGATGAACGCCGGATTCACAGGAGTGGTTAAGTCAGTGGTGGTAATATATAAAGGAAAGATTGCATATAAAGATATAGTACATGAAGAAAGAACTAGTTCATAGAAAGAAAGAGTTGAAGCGATTTTAATCTTTTAGTTTAAGGGAAGACAGATAGTGTATACACCTACGCCATTGTGATTGATCCTTCATTACATATGATCATCGTAACCCGTTCAAAAATACCTTTAGCGCAGCTTATGAACTGTTTTTTCACCTATGTTCGTTCTTAATTTTTCGATGTCACCACTAGTGTTTTAGCAAAGGAAAGTGAGGCTACATCTATTTAACTAAAACAAATAACTACTTAGTTACATCTTTAATATTTATGTTCCCTTATATCACACAGTTTCTAGTTGATTCAGTGGTTTTGTTATCAATTTATTAAACACATTCTTTGTTGGGGACGTTAGATCCCCAGAATTCACTTGAAAGAGGACCTCATTTTGTAATTTTATTTAGAAAATTTGAATTTCTTTGTTTTCGCGCCAGAAGTGCTCTTGTCACTTTCATGTCGTATTTCTCACTTTGTAAATATCTTAAACGCTATTGGTCTGTTGCGTCTTTTAGTATGCTATTCGGTAACTCTCCTCAAGGAGTTTTGTGCTGTTTATATATGTTTTGATTTGTGTTTGTTGTTATTGCTCGTGCTTCTGGCTGTTTGCAGAATATGTTTCCCCATTCCAAGCTTGGACTTCTTCCTCTAGTTAGCAGGGCTGGGACTCATCAGAATATCTAGTTTATTGGTCTTTGGTCACTGAGTCCTTGTTTTCGTGAACTCGTGATAGCTTCAAACCTAGCATTCTTGTAGACTCTACTATGAGAATTACATTCATTATGCGATGAACAAGAACATAAATGAAGTCAACTAATTGTATTTTCTTACAAAATTACAGAATATCTAAGGGAAATATGAGAACCATATATCGAACACTTTATTTCCAAATTTCCATCATTCGTTTTTCACACATTGTATGATTCTTCCAGTTAAAAATTCCTTCTTAACTTCAGTTCTATTTTCTTTAATTCGATCTTCTTAGCCTTTTGCTGCCAGCCATTTAACTTTTGATTGGTGTTACACACTACTTATATCTGTCAAAATAAGTAGCACACACCATATATATATATATATATTCCTGAATAAATTACTCCTTAATGATACTATATGCAGTTTTATGTACAAAATCATGCTAGGAACTTCCTGTATGTAATGAGTGTTTTACAAAATCAGGAAGATTAGACAAATTTAACTGGAAAAAACATTTCCTCGAGCAAACACGGTAAAAGTACATTACTACAAAAGTTTTTTTCATTTTTGCCACCACTTTATACCTTTATTGATCAATGATTGAATGAGTCACATTTTTTCAATTTCGGTAACCATTTAATGAGAATGTTAGACGTAAATCACTGCTTTATCATTTGACATTAGGACCGCTCAAAAGTAATCGTGTTAGTCTTGTATAAACCGGACAACAAGACAAATACATTAACTATGAAGCAACACTTTGATTGCAACCTTTTGCAAACCTATCATTATGTAAACGGACATGTAACACCAGGGTCATAAAAATCTGAATAGTAATTTCATAAACTTTAACACGCTTCTGAACTCGTATATGTGTAACTGCTACTTTCGTTACTCATATTGTACCTATTTACTTCTTATATATGTCTTATTTACCTAGGTAAATTTTTGTCTGTATATCTCTGCGCGCGCTATTTAAAAGGACAGTGGTATTTTTGCTCACTGAGTAAATTCTATTCTTTTGATCGTTTATTACATATCAAGACTACTGTTTATACTTTAAGTGAAATAAATTCAGTTAAAGTATACGATTAGAATATCGCTTCTGTTTTCAAAATAACTTATCGTCGGTACTTTTGAGTACTTTGTTTTCTATTGTATCTAATAGTACATTTGGTTTTAACAATCTGAAGTTTTCCACTTGTTTTGATCATAGATCACTTTTGTTTCTGAGTACTATTGTATCTAGTTCACTTCTAAAAAAAAAACAAATGACTAGAAAGTGCAAAAAAAGCAATGGCCAACATTCGGGCTGTTGATATCCCGTTGAAAGTCGTCGACAACCCTCCGGAATCTCACAGTGTGCTTGACGCGACTGTGGTTGCTAATCCAACCAACGTTGACGAATGGGTATAGGTTGTTAGAAATGAATGACATAACGTTGTAAAAGGGGATTCTGATCCCATAAATGAAGTCGAGAAATTGAAAACTGGACACAGTGACAGGTCAGTTATTTTTCATAGGATCAAGGAGAGTTAAAGCTCTGAACTGAAAACTTGTTTTCAGCATGACATTGTGCTGAAAAAACAGCTGCTTAATCAACTTATGCCTCAAAAATATCTCCAGAGTCACCTTGCTAAAGGTGTTTATTTATTATTTATTTAAACACATAAGTATAGGTACAGGAAGGCGCCAAATACATATGCGCCACACAAATCTCAATTGATTTGTGTGAGGGCTGTGATACTGCTCGGGTGCCCAAACCGAAGCAGGTGGTTTTCTTAGGGGGCCACACCCCGAGCCTTTGACCTGAACGTCTGACCCACAAGGCAGTGGAGCACCGTAGGGAGATGCAGTCCCATGGTAGCCGGTGACCAACGATTGGTTCATATGCCATTTGTTCCCTCAGGCAGGATACTGGAGCCCATGTGCACCATTGGTTTGGTTTGGGGTCCGGTTAAAGCGCCGGACATTCGCTTT